GGTGAGGAGAGAAATGCAGAACGACAGCGAGAAGGATGAGAAGAGCAGAGAATGCATAGAAGGTCTCTTTTTGCTCTCGCCGAATCTGGAAGAATCGAGGAGGACAGTGCATGCTTTGTCTGATTTGAAGGAGGACGATCTTGCAATGTCATAAGGCGAAGTCAGAAAAATAAAACCCTTCATGGATTTTTCAAATTCGAACAGGGAACCTTTTGACAAATATCAGCCTAATTTTCACTACACCAATTTCTCTTATCGTCATATTTATCCCAAGAAAATATAATTATTATTAAAGACACAAATTTATACATTTAATTATTATTATTATTATTTTTTTTTTCTAGGTTATATGTCAGAAGGATGGCACTAACATTAATTGACTAAGCTTTGTTTATGAGTCTTTGACCCTAATGACTATATATTCATTTTATCTACACACTTCAAAATAAATGACATTATAGAGTTGATGCACTTTTGTCAATTAATCTAATTAAACAACTTTTCTTATTATAGGATAAAATAACATATTTCGTTTTGAAGGTGAAACATTAACCATGTATCAACTTTGATTATTTATTGGCTAATTGTTAATCCTTTCTCTCTATAGAGCAATAAGCACTTAGAGGAGATTGAAAATTTTTCATTTACCCAATGACAAATTCAACATTGTTTAACAAGATTTAGTTAACTTTTGCACATAAATGTCTAAAAACAAACTATCCTCAATTTTTTTTAAAAACAAATTATAAGTTATTCTCGTGACTTTAATCATGCATGGATTTGGGTCCCTCATAGGCTAACAGTTATTTTCATTTCTCTATGATGCAATAAGCATATGGAGGGAAGGAAATTTTGTTTGGCATAAATGAAATAACCTTGTAATTTGCTAATACATTGTATAGAATTACAATATTTTTAACATCTAAACCCTTTTAAAGAGATTAATGAATCATCTTGTGCTTTTTCTTAGCATAAATGTTCAAGGCACAAATAAGCATAAGTTTTAGGACCTATTTTATTTAACCCCTGTTACTAATAAGACAACAAGAAAGAATGAAATTTGAAATTCTTCCAATTTGATTACAAACCCTACGTATTTGAGAGAAATTCAAAATTCTTTCAATTTGTCCTCTACACCAACACAAGGTTGTAAATAAATAAGTTGACAATTTTGTAGAAAGAGAAATATTATAACTCCAAAATAAATGCATCTGACCATCTCTACCCCCCACTTGATTCCTTTATTCTATAATAATCATTCATTAAGGCAAGGGCATAGTAAACAAATGCCTTTGCATCCATGCATTTTATATCACATGCTATGAAGAAAAGATCTTAAAATTTGTGAAATATGGGTTTTTAGATCCTTTACATGAGAAGGTTAAGGCCAACTAACAGTAGGGGTAGAATTAAAAGTTTTATAGGAAATGGATTTACCAATTGATCCAATAATGTTTCCTTCCATCTCCCTACCTTACTTGCCATAATGCTAGTCATTTTCTCACTCCTTGCCTGTTGTCATTATCTCATCCATTCAAAGCGCATCAATATTTCATGATACACTTTCACACCCTTTGTAACATCCTAGAGTTTAAATCTAGGAATTTTAAGTGTTTAGAAGGGTATATTAGTAAAGTAAGTGAATTTTGATTCATGATGTTTTTGAAAGACTAATGAATTATTAGACAGCCTTAAGAGAGGGTAATCTCAAAGTTTAAGTAAGCCGTGGCACTGAGAGAGGCCCAAAACGTGTCTAGGCATCTCTGTACTATGCATTACGAAGGGCAAGCCAATATATCGTGGCGCATGTGCAAAGATATACACTTATCAACTCGCAAATTAGAGCGAAAATCAAAAGAAGAAAGGGTAAATGCTAGAGTGGCGATGAGCATTTGGGAGTAATTTGGAAGCATTTGGGGGTTTGATTATTGTTAGGTAGCTTCCTACATCTCTTCCTCTCTATTTATGCAAATTTTCTAAGGTTTAGGGGTATTATGGGGCTTGATTTCAGTTATTCTTAGGTAACAGCAAAAGCCATTGCCTTAGTTAGGGTCTTAGGGAGTTAAATAAATCAAGTCAGTAAACTATATTTATAGATTATACAGTGATTTGGAACTTTTAGTTATAGGTTGAATGAAAGCTAAGTAAAAATAGGGAGATTGAGAACAATGTGGGTAGAGACTTAGGGTTTTTAGTATGTTTGCGTGTTAAATAGAATTAATAAAGTGTGTTGGGATAATTGATTAGGTTAAATTAAGGTTTTTGATATGATGGGCATGTTGCTCACTGCAAGTGAACGGGTCGTAGCAAGTAATATAAGATGAGTAAAGTATCGTTCCCTTGAAAATTTGTTTAAAAGAGATGATCAAATAAAAGACTAAGTAAGATCGATCAAGTTGAGCCAAACACAATTATAGGAAAAAGTTAATTTTTCAAACTAAACTAACACTAAAAAATAAGAAAAAGAGAATGATTCACAAATTTCAAGCACAAATTGAGACCTAGAATTATTTATCACCCTTGTATTTCATAACACCAAAATTACCTCCTATCCTAAATGTTTTTAATGAAAATAAGTGATAATCTAGGGTTCTAAAAATATTTAGACAAACTCTCTTAAATCATGAATAAGTGTTTAGTTAAATTAATTTCCCAATCTCTTATTACAATTAATGAAACTCAATTTTTAGCTCCAACCCTAATGTGGCTATGCAAGGCTAGCAAGTATATCTCTATTTTACCAGCAAAACCATCCATTCAGCATGCAAATATCAAGTTCTTATGCTATTATACCTAAGTTCTATACTCAACCTAGCCCTCTCAAGCATCAATCAAGTGAACCCAACATCTAAATGGTGGCTAATCATTTAGAAGCATTAGGAAAAGAGTAAAATAAACACATATATATCATTAATAACAAAAAGAGAGGAGGAACATAGTGTTAATTCATACAAGGATTCCAAATAACCCTAAAACAAAGTGTTTAACTACTCATAATCATCCAAAAGATACAAATACATAAAATAGTTGGACCCATATTAGAATATAAGAGAGGAAAGGGAAGAGGAACAAAAAACCGAAGAAAAGAAGTTCCAAATGTCTTCAAAACTCCGTTCTCTTAGACCCAACTCTTTTAATGCCTAAACCCTAGCACACAAAGCTCCAAACGGTTGCTCAAAGTTTGAAGAATGCATTCTGGATTGAGCTCTTAACATATATATGTCCTAGCTAACCAATTTTTGATAAATAAAATGTAACATTTTTCTAATAGCGGTGAAAGCTGTGACTTTCTGACGACTTTAACAGTTTTGAACTATTTTTACAATTAATAAAATTTATCCTTTTACACTTAATTTCTTCATTCAAAAGCCTTCCAAAAGTATCAACAAAAGTCCAAAAATGCATCCAACCAAATCTTAAACCAAAATATTAATTAATTAGCTTCGAAATACTAACATAGAGCTATGGTTTGAATTTCTAAAATAATATACACATTTTTCTAACTTGAATATTCAAAATATGTACAATTGTGCCAAAATATATTGAAATCCAAGAAAAATGTGCTCAAATCACATGAAATTATAGAGGTTAATAAGGTACCTAAAGTTGTATTATAAATGGTGTAATTAGTGTGTGGATTGATGGTTTAGAATTTAATCTTGTAGATTAGCTATTGTTCAAGCATTGTGGTGCTACTGGACACATGTGGAGCCGTTGTTTGACCATAGCAACCCTTTTTGTGACAAAAGGATTTAGGTAACCAGATTATTTAAACTCTATTTATGTATTTGGATGGATATGCAATTGCTTTTACTGCTAAAGTTCTTGTTTTTTATTATTATAGCATTAATATGTAATGATTATTGTGAACACTGTATTTTGTCTGGACATTTATTAAATTTAATAAAAATAATAATGAATTCAACTAAAAAAATATAAAAATACAAAAATAAAATTTAATCCTTTTTAGGATTGTATTTTCAAAAAAAATAATCTAACATAAAAAAAGGTAAATAAGCTGGTCTAAATTAAGTTTGACTCGAATAAGCTCAATACGCCCGAATTACCAACTCTACTCCACCATAATATATTTTAGACGTAAATGAAAGACTAATAGATACAATTTAAAAATTGATGGGCACTCGATTTAATTGAGTGAAAGAATTGAATTAACTTATTTTAAAACCTTAAATTTGAGTTTTGAGACATGCAACTATATTAAATAAAAATGCTAAATGTATTTCTAAACCTAAAGTACTCATAAGATTGTTATTAATAATAACATCTTACATAAGTGGAGTTAAATTAGTGTAAACAAATGGTGGTAATATCTCTAGTTTTTTTTTGGTTAAAAAAAGTATCCCATATTTTCTAAGATAAAAAAAATATACAATTCAAAATATTGTATATTAAAAAATTTTCAATAATTTAGTTAAATTATAATTTTTGCTGCAAAAAAAATTATTTCATATATTTTATTTAGTAACATACATTTTTTTTATACAGCATAATATAATGTGAAAAATTAAATGAAGAATTACAAATAAATCCAAAAAAATTAATTAATTATTATTTTTACATGTAAATACTAGAGGATGGACATATAATGATATAAATGAAATCTTAGAACGTATTTGTAATTGGGATAATGACAAAGAAGTCTGAAAAAAATTAATTAATTTAATTTATATTTTATCTGTTAAACTTTAAAAATTTACAACTCAATCTTTTAATTTTATAATTGTATTGAAATGAATTTATAATTTATTTTTAAAATTTTCATTAAAAAATAATTTTATTCAATTATGTTAAAATTTTAAAAATAAATTATAAATTTATTATAATAAAATTATAAAATTTAAAAATTAAATTATAAATTTTTAAAATTTAATTTAACTTAATTAATTTTTTTGAGATTTCTGTATCATTCTCACTTTCTAATTCTTAGCTTGTCACTGCTCACACTAATCTTTCACTAAAACTATTTAGTTTAATTGCGCAGGTAACCAGCACGATCATCTTCAGCGTCATCTCTGAAAATGCCATAGTTCCTCCCTCTACCTAGAGCTTTCATTGATTGTGCCATCATAATCACTAAATTAGAACCACCAAACCCTAACACACTCCCAATTACCACCTTTTGTCTGTATCGTACAACCCTCAGATGTGAAATGGCTGGCCCTCTACTTTGGGACATTCTGCTTCATAGCTCTCAATTCCAAAACTTCCGGCGTTTTGTGGCCGGAATCTCCGTGAATGTGACGCCTCATCGCTTATTCTGTAGTGCCCCCACCATCCGAATTTCGGGACAGACAGGTAAGGAAGCAAGCCATGCTGGTCAAATCTCGAAGCTACAGGATGACCCTGATAATGAGGAATGGAAGGACAAGGCAAAGGAGATCGTCAAGGACATTGATCCCATCGTTAGGCTAGCCAAGGATATCCTTCACTCGGGAAGGTCAGGTCATGACACTAATTCATTATATGAAATTTCTCATTTCTTGTTGCTCTCCAACTGTTCGTCGTATTGCCTCTAACTTTCCAACGTACATTGTTGAATACCCATATATGCAAACAAAAGGAGTTATATATTATCAAACTAAATGCACGAGAAATTGGAATAATGCTAAAGCTAAACCTATTATCATGATAGGCACTCATTGTTGCGTAACATACCTAGCATAAGGAAGCAGTAGCCATGCAAGGTAACGGAAAGAAGAAACTCTAGAGAGAGAAGAGAGACGCAAGATCCAAAATTAATATTCTCCTTTAGAAAATTCCTTATGAGACTATATTGGCTCCTTGATAGGAAAACAAACAATATAGTATGAATATCATTTGCCTTTGAGCACTATTGATTGTGTGAAGGAGATCTGTTCACATTTGTATGGTAAAATTCTTGCATACCTTATTGTGCGGCTAAACTAACCTGAAGCCTATTTGAAGACTGAAAGAGCAAATTCATGATTCTTCTTGTGAGACTTTGTACTTGTAATATTTGCTAAAAATGGCGCTTGCCTTCTTGTGAGACAAGCATTGTTATTCTGTAAATTCTTCTAGAAAAAGTGAGGCAATTCTGAAACTTGAAAAATGGAAGGGGCATACATCAAAGCCACGGCAAAATGCCAACAATTTTCAACATACATTGACACTTACAGCCACATGAAAATAATTAAGATGGAGATCTATAATAACCATGGAAAACAGTGGTTGCCTGCCTGCGAGACTCTATACATAGTATACAAATTTTCTGTGATAATTTCTACATCTCCATCATTTGCTCACATTGACATGTGCTGCATCTTTGGTATATTGACCGATATGGCTTCTACAACTTTATTTTATTTGACCTTATAAAACTATCTTCTTGAAGTCTTTGATTTTCTACACTAGGTACATGGTTGGAGAGCAATTGACAGATGAGGATGAGAAAGTTGTGGTAGAGAAACTTCTTGTTTACCATCCACATTATGATGATAAGATTGGATGCAGTCTTGCGTCAGTTATGGTATGATATGCTTACTTCTATATGCATATCTACATGCCATGGCAACAATGCAACATGTTGGCATGGTAGTGTAATGCTACAACTTGTTGGCATGATAGTATAATGCTATTGATTTCTTTATTATGTTGTCCATGCAACTTCTGAGTTGCAATTGTTGTATATTAAAAATAACATACAATATCATGTGAACTTGTTGTAAATGAATATCTGCAGGATCAACAATGCTTACTTTTGTGTGAACTAATTCTGAATTGCTGCCTGAAAGAAATGATTTAATTACAAATTATTTTTTAACATTAGAAGATTTTTTTTCTTAGCAGGCTTGATATTAGAAGATTGTATGTTTTATAGGTGTGTGAAGACTGGGTTAGTGCCTAGCCCATAGCCTGGTCTGAAATATGATCAGGCTGGACATACTTGTCCATGGTTTGGCCCAGCCCAATGGCCAGGCTTGGTCTACCAAGCTAGTGGACTGGTCTGTCAGACCAGCTGTTATTCAGCCCCCCTTCAAGTGGGAAAAAAAGGAGGGCTTCAAACAAGGGAGTTGGATCTAGTGGAAGGGATCAGTCCCTCACAATATGGCGACCCAAGGTTGTAGGAAAGGTGCTCACATTTATTGCCCGACAGTGCTTCGAACATGATTATCTCTAATAGAAAGACACCTGTTGAGAAACCAAAAAAGAAATATAGTGTACCATATACCTAAATCATAGCGATGCCAATTCTAAAACTTGAAAAGTTAAAACTGAAATATAGAATGTATACCTGAAAAAGGTGAAGGCAATTTTGAAACTTGAGAAATCGAAGAGTCATAGATCAAATCCACAGAAAAATGCCAACAATTATCACCACAAGTTGACAGTTACAGTCACATGGAAATTCCTACTGCAGTAAAATGGAAAAGGCTTGAGTAATATCTAAGGGAAATAGTGAATAACAATTTATGGGGTGCTTGGATGCCTCTTTTGGTACCCCAAAAGTTCTTTGTTAAATTAACTTCCATTGAACTGATGTTTGGTAGAAAAACTTTTTTTTTCCTTTTAAGCTCATCCACAAAGCATAAAACCATGAAAAAGTCAGTTTGGGAAATGCAAGCTGGGGCTTCTTTTACTGTTTTGAAAGTCAGTTTGCCAAATTCTCTTTTGGCAAACTTTAAACCAAACACATTTAATATAACAGCAAAGAACATTATATTCACAACAGCCACATAAAATTCAAGTTTGAATCACATTTAAAAATTGTAACCAACAACATGACTTGAAAATTAAAGTCCGAACCACTTTTAAAACCAGCCACATAATATTACAACAATAGCATGCTAATCAAAGCAACCACCCACATGAAAATCCAGCCCCACTACAACAACAAGAATCTACTAAAGACAACCAGCCACATGAAAATTGAAGTCTTGAAAAGTTTACAGAACTAGCCAACATCAAGTAATCTTCATAGAGACATCCCCTCCACCTTCAATTACAGTTAATCCATCTGAACAAAATAAGTAACAATTTAAATGGTAACACTGCAATATTTATAAACAGAATGAATTTAAATTGAGAAGTGTGTCTCATTCTCACTGGTACAATAGTAGAGAAGGGTTGGTCAATGCTAGAAGCTTAACCCATTATTTCAACTTTCACTTTAACCCTTAAACAAAAGAAAATTACTGTTTACAGTTGAGAAGAATAGAAATACACATTATTAAGAAGGATAAATACAGGAAGATTTAAAGTAAATAATGCAAGTATACTAAATTTCCTTTCCATTCTTATCATCTACTATATTTTGTATATCCCAACATGCCAATTTCTTTTCAAGAGATCTAGCATGTACTTCCTCTGACAGATGTAAATTCGTTTCTTTGACTAGGCAACCTCCATCCCAACAAACTATTTCATCTCCCCATATCTTTTATTTGGTATTCCTGAGCAAGTGTGGCTTTGATGTGAATAAAATCTGGAAATACTATATCTCCCAATTTCTTTTTGCTAGAGTGAGGTCTTTCTTGTTGCTTTTGTCTTGTGTGTCTAGAAGAATTTATATAGTGATACAAAGCATAAAAGCGGTTGACTCTAGTCATTTCTCCTTTTTGGGTCACCAATCACATTTTGTTGTAAAAAAAAGTGATTAGAAGACATGAGAGTAAGAATATATGTTCCTGCCCAGAAAATACCCAAGATGCGTATATATTCACTTCATAAATCCAAGGCATGCTATCTCTAACTAGTTGGATCTTCTTTGCTTTTGTTTTCTGCAGGCCTATTTTCATTTCATTTGCTGTGAATACTGAATATAAGTAAACAGCAATGCAGTTATTAATATTATAAATCTACATACATATGTGATTCTGATGGGATAGCATGCTCTTGGTGCTAATTCTCTGTCTTTTAATTCTCATTGTTTGTGAATTACCTGCTAGAGTTTTGCTAAATACATGACTTCGCATCTTGCAGGTCGGACATCATCCCGTGTTTAACTACTCAAAGTGTCTTTTTGTTGTAAGAACTAATGGTGACTCGATTGACTTCTCCTACACTAAGTGCCTTCATGAGTACATTAGAAATAAGTATCCATCTCATGCAAAAAGGTTTATTCAAGAACATTTAAAGCATGGTAGTGTTGGTGGCAGAGCTACAGATAAGTGAGGTATGCAAAGACACCCCCTCACCTTAGAGAAAATTGCTTGTAGGTATAGATATGTTTACTTCTATAGATATACTTACATGTCATGACAACGATGCAACTTGGTGTGGTAGTATAATGTTATTGATTTCTTTACCTAAGTTGCTATTGCTGTACATTAAGAATAACATACAATATCATGTGTATTGCTTGTAAATGAATATTTGCAGAATCAGAATGCTTCTTTTGTATGAAATAAAATTTTTGAATTGCTTTTCCTCCTGAAAGAAATGATTTAATTGCAAATTATATTTAACACCACAAGATTGCATATTTCTTCCTCGTACAATCTGAACATTTTCCACCTGAAATGATACAAAAGTTTGTTGGGTATCTAATTCTCCATTTCTCTTAGAATGGTACTTCATATGTTGATAGTGCATTCTTTTATTTCTCCAGTTTAGACCAACTGACCAAGAAAGATATATTTCTATGATACTGCTCCGTTGTTTGTTGAATATGATATCCCTCGCTATTGGTGGCACTGCCTGGTGGAGTGCTTGCCTCTGTTTCTAATCACAATAAAATCTAGAAGTACGGTATCTCCTGAATTCTTCTTCTGGTAGAATAATATCTTTCTCATTGCTTCCTTCTTATGTCTCGAGGAATTTATACAGTGATATGAAGTACAAAACTGACAATTTAGTTGAGCTTAGCTTCATAAAATGGTTCTTGGTTGGGCAGCAAGCCTTAGGAATTAATTAATGCAGCTAATCTATAATGTTTCATAGTATCCATCGTACTGTCTTCATATCATGAGTGACTTGAATATTGTTGGTTTTGGATCTGTCTATACTAGTTTTTTAGGCTCCCAGGACTGGCTTATGACAGAAAATTAATTATATCAAAATATGGATCTGCTGAAAGTTCTCTCATTTTTCAATTTTGAATTGAGCCAGTCATTTTTTAACACTGAATAGGGTTCCGTCCGTGTAATTGGACTATCCAAACTCACCAATTGTGAGAAGTGACCTGGCCAAAGATCACATGACTCTTGGACCACGGTTTCTTCCTACTCTCAAATCTCTAGGATGTTTTATATTCTAAGTTATTCTCCTCGATAAACTGATGGAGAAAGCTAAGTTCTAATCCCTCGACAAACTATGGAACAGTCCCTTGACAAATTGTGAGACAAGACTATACCCCCGTGCACCGGAGGGTAGCCTAAATATCATATGAATTTTTCTCTACTTTCAATCCCTAGGCGAATTACCACCCATTGATCATGTCATGTTCAATACTCACTATTTTCACAATCTCATTATTTCATTATTATAATCCAACACATTAGGCTCATGATCATGTGCTACCTAAGTGAGCATCTAGTCTCATTTCACATGAACACATATATTCTCACTTTCAATCATAGCTCATTTATCATTATCATTCTCAATCATTATCAACACCCAATTAACCACCGTTTTAGAACAAAAAATTCATTTTGTAATCTCTTTGCATTTGTAGTTCAAACCGAAGCAATTATACAAACACATGAGTTCATAACATGTTATCCACATTTAAAACACAATTGTTATTCCAAACACTTATATCATAATACAATTAATATATAACTATCCAAAATAGGGTTCTCTTGATTAAAACTTTTGAGAGATTAAATATTTACTGCTCAATATTCTAAGCTCCCAATCTTGAAGTCCTAAGCCAAATTGGTATCCAAGAGTTTAATCTACAATTAACCAAGTTATCCTTCACTACCATTGTCAAGAACACACGATCAATTCATACTTTCACTTTTCCATTTTCCCAACAACATCAATTTCACCACTTGGACTTACCTATTAAGTTTATTAACTTCTTTTGGTCCCCAACAACATTATTGAGCCACTGAGCTTCCATTAATGGCATTACACTCTTCCAACAACTTTTATTAATGCTAAATTCGCATACTAATGGGGTTCAACAGCCAAAAATTCCAAAACTCATTATTCTTAGGTTTAGATATTCAACTTTACTTTCATTAACTCCATTTGAGTTAATGAATTTGAACCCATAACTTATATGGATTAAAAATCATCTTTCATTATCAAACCTTAACCATAAGCTTTATAAATATGGAAGAGATGGGAAGAAATGAGTGTAGAGTACTTACCTTCGATGTTTAGTAGCTGCAAAATGCTCCCAATATTACCCAAGAACAAACCCTAGTGGAGCTTTCTACTGGTTCTTCATTTTCCTCTTTACTTCTCTCTAATTTCTGCCTCAGTTTGCAGCTGATATTCTACAAAAGATGGGCTGTGAGTCATGGCAGATGTTGCAGCACATGGCACAGAGAGGTCCCTCCACACTTCAGTATTTTCTTATGCGCCGTGGAGGACCTATATCATGCCATGACGTGTGGCACAGGAACACTTCATTTTTGTTTTCTTCTCTTTTCGATCTCGAGTGGCTCAACTTCACACTGGACCCATAATTAGGGTTAAAACGCAATCAAAACTAGTCATTAGACCCTAGCCACACACTACATTAATTTATTTAATTATCATAATTAAGTTTAGTTAATTAAAGGATTAAAATTCAAGATGTTACATGTGTGACTCCTTTTTTCCAAGAGCCTTGTGTCACAAGAAACCATAAGGATACGGTGCTTTTGGGAGATGTTCGGGATGATGCAGAGATTTTCAGGAGAATTCAGGACATTCAAGAAGAATCTAATATATTCTAGAATGTTTTAGAAGCATCTAGAACAATCTAGAATAATCTAGAGAAATCTAGAAGTTTCTAGAAGGTTCTAGAAACTTATGGAGGAATGTGGAGATGTTTAGAATATTCTAGGATATTCTAGAATGTTCTAGAACATTCCACACATATCTTAAATATTAGTTTAGAAATATGTTTGTAAATATCTAAACATTTGTTGTAAATATTTTCATAAAATACTTTAGAGGATAAATGTAAATCGTAGGATTAAATTGATCTCTACCGTCCATTAAGGATGTGGGAATTTTCTAGAGAAAGGGGGAGGCCTATAAATACTCTCACAACCCCTTATTTGTAAACAACAAGGAAAGTAATTAAAGTTCTAAACTCTCAAGTTCTCTCATACAAACTCTCTTTTCTCTTGTGTTCAAGTTAATTAGTTTTTTTGCCTACATTCTGAGGGTTCGGCTGACTTAGCAAAACTCAAGAGGTTGATCACGTTAAGACCGACACGGTTCAAGGACTGGGGAGTTCCAAGGCCGTTATATTTGGCTACCTATTTTCATAACTAAGGCTTCTACAACCTTTGTCTTTTAATCTTGTAACATAATTCGAACAACAATCAAAATAGATTTGTCCTTTGAATAAATTTGACTATATTATTACAACTAAAAATTTTTGAAATTTTTTTTTCTTGTCTTCTATCTTTTACATATAAATATAAGTTTGTCTAAACTTAACCTAAAATTAGATTTTACTGTAATCTATATCATTTCTATGTGCATTCAATTATAGTTTTCTTTATATTTAACCTTATATTTAACCACTGTTTCCTCTAGGATCATATAAATATTTCGTCTTTCTTTATTTATTCATATTTCTTTTTCAATAATTTGGGTTACATATGAAAAATCAAAAGATGTTTTCTTATAAACCTCTTTTTCTTTAAAGGTTGGCATCAACTAGTTTGTTAATATATCTTGTAGATTGATTGTTGTTATTTTTGTTTTTCAAAAAATTTGACCATTTTCAATTTCTTCTATTTCTCCTTCAGGTTCATTATTTCTATTTGACTTTAAGCTAAAACTCTTAAGACTTGTCATATCTTCCTTTCTAGACTCAGATCCTAATATCTCACTAAATTAGCTCATATTCCTATTTTTACAGTTTTATGTTTTATTGTTCTTTTTTTGTTCTTTTTTTTTTCCCCTAAGCTTAACAAGAATACCATTGCCTAATCTAATGAACTTACATAGGCTTACCAACGTTTCTACCAAAAAAAGTTTAAACAGTATAAAATAAAACAATTTAAATAGAATAATCAGCAAGTGCAAAAAAATGGCTTTGATGCCAAAGCGGGAAGTAGATTGAATTAATATACATAAAGATTAAAACAGAGTATAAATATACACATAAGACTTTATTTGTAAAAGAGTTGTAGGTACATGATGCTTACAAAGGCGGAGAATAAAGAGAGGGCTAAAAGAAAATATATTACAAGTGGTAAATAGAGAGGAGGGTCAGTTTACAAGAAGAGAGGCCCAAAAAAATTGATGTCTGAAAAACTATGAGTCTTTTGATTTCATAGAAGTTCAGAAAAATTATAGTTGAGTTAGCTCGTTTAACTTTGATTACTTTTCTTCTTTCGTGCTTAAACTATTTCGACAGGATTTCACTCTTGTCTTTGCTTTTTCTTTTCTTCTCTTTCTTCTTTTTGTCACACCCATGGCTTGCTTTCTTTTCTTTTCTTTTTTCTTGTTTTTCTTTTGCCTTTTTTTTTTGGTCATGTCTTTCACCCATGACTTACTTTCTTTCCTTCATTTTATTTTCTTTTACTTTTCTCTGTCAGCAACTAGTTAATATTTTTTAAAATCGACGCCAAATATGTTTTCATTCTCTAATTCTTGGATAGAGGACCCTGAAAAAAATTCTTCCAAACGTTCAACTTTAAAAGATCTTTTTAAAGTTGTACTTTTTGAAGAACTTTTGGGTAAACCAAAATGGTGTAGATGATCAAAAAATACAAATTCGCTATTTTGAGATAGAACTTGACAAAACTTGTGTTGCTCAAAGTCTATAAGTAACCTAACGTGATATTATATTTATAGAACTCAAGTCTGAATTTTATACGAATTATTCTCAATCAAATTGATTTGATATCTCCAAAAAAATATGATCTGTTGTTCTGTATCAGAAGTAGAATCTCAACTAAATAAGCGATAATATTAATTATCCAAAAACAATTAAGTTAAAATTTAAGATTTCAAGAGGTTATACATTGGTTCAGCCATATCTAAAGTCAATTTGAAATCAATTGTCAAAATATGTTAGAGAAGAGGTTATATTGCAACATTTTTAATATTGGAGGAGTGACATTGTTCTAATAAGTAGTTTAAGATATTTAGTATTCTTAATACAATAGTTCAGGAATAAAAATGTCTTTTTACCCCTTTTAAGCCTGATTACCCTTCATCACAATTTTTTTTTTTGTTAAAATGAATGCGTTTTCAATTATAAAAAATGTTTTTTTTTTCACTGATGGATAAAATCAATTTTCGTATCTTTTATTTTTTTTTAAAGAAAAATCAAATTGGGGTGCAAACATGCTAGCCCATGAACACCTCTAGCCAAAATCTGTCTATCAATTAACTATTAACTAATAATGTAAAATGCTAATTCAGTTTGCGAGTGAGAAATCTCCAATATCTATCTGTTTTCTTTATCATTGCTAGTAAAATAGCACATCATAATAATTGATCACAAATTCATATTCAGAAAATTTATCTGTTTGACTCAATATTGATTTGCCTAACTAAGGGATACTAGGATACATTTGTTCATTGAAATCCTTTGAAAATTTGCTATTGAGTGAGTTCAATAATTTGCAAATGCTTTATATGTTTGTCATCAATATATTCATGTTTGGTAATTAGATAGCAACATATAGCTTGTTTTTTGGATGGCAACATAGACGTTATTTTCAAGATATGCAATTGCATATTTGAATATATGAAAATTAAATTATATTTTCTTGAAGATTGCATGCATATGGTGGAAGGAGGATTGTATATGACTGAAGCTAAATTGCATTCAATGTCAAAATTTGACACCAAGACATT